ATCCTTGGGCGACTTGCGAAGATTGCCGAGCTTCTTACGCACTTTGCGTTGGCGGCTTGGATCCCAGACGAAGTGGCTGTCCTTTACAAAGATCATAGAGTGCTATGACTGTCAGCTGAGACAATGCCGCGGGTTAGAGCCTGCTCACCTCATAGTACCAAGTCGAAATAAAGTCATCCGCCGCTCGTTTGATCGACTGGATAGTTGTCTCTGCAACGAAACCGATCAGGCATTCGACTCTGCTCCCTGGATCGGTGCAGTTTTCTTGTGACGTTAGCGATTGTCTCTAGACTGAGGATGTTGCTCTGCGGTACAACTTACCATTATGACTTAGAAGATCTACGAGACCCAGATATGCATCTCCAATTCCCATGAAAAAGACTTGGCTCGCTTCATTCGGCCTACAAAAAGGTTAACACTTGATTTATACGCAACGGGGTGACCTACTCAATGTAGTTTTCCCACAAATACGTAGCCAGTTCACGAGTTTGTCGTGCGCGAACGGTAGAATCATCAGCTCTCACAAAGCCATCGTTCGCCTAGCCAGATTAGCAGTCTATGATAGTAGGGAAGTCAAGGGGCTCACATCTTCGACTGTTACGATTCTGGGGATGTTGACATCGATTACTTGAAAGTCGTTCGTTATGGCCCAGTCAATGTACCTCTTGGTGACATCAGTCTTCGTCCAAAGTCAGCTATTACACAGTATGAGACTGTACTTATACTTACGAGCCAGGTGTTATGTAACTCGTTCTTTCCAGTCACGGGATCGGGATAGTCCTGGAATCCCGGTGGATCATGGAATATTACGAGGAGAGGATAACGGTCCATGAACCTGGGTCTGCAAATTATGAGCATCTGCGATCATGATAGGCGCTTGAACTTACGTAGCGATAATGTTATGCGAAAAAGTTTGCGTCAAGCCCGCCTTGTTGATATAAAGTGGAGGAAGCGGGACCATGGAGTGTTCTGAAGCCAAGCGTTGACTCTGCCACTCCCGGATGATCTCGTGCAATCGACATGTGTCCTTGTAGCCAGGATCCGCCTTGTCCAGATGTTTCGGGTAGAGGGATTTCCAGTATCTAGAGTGTTCTCGTTTCACGTTCTCGACGGTATGGACTGCGCTGTCCTTTGGGCCTGGCAGATCAATATGTAAGCGATCCGGGGGCTCCAGCATAAGTACTCTGGTTACTGCTAGTGCTGAACGTGCGATAGACCGTAGATTATACCCGCCTTCGAGACACACCACAAGCTTTCCTTTTGCTAACCGCATAAGCATATGTGTCATGTGCCCGTAGCATGCAGGCGTGACGAAACATCCGCCTAACAAGTCCCCCTCGGCCGCATCGAAACCAGCCGATATAATTACAAGATCTGGATCGAACTCGGTAGCGATAGGCATGACAACCTCTTGGAAAGCATAAAGATATTCCGCGTCACCCATGCCGTGGTCAGCCCATGGAATGTTTACGTTCTTCCCTTCTCCTGGGCCTTCGCCGCAGTAATTGAGATCCCCATCGGGTAAGTTTGGGTAAAAGTTTCCACCCTTGAACACATGTAATGAGATATAGAGCACGTTGGGATCGTTGTAGAAGGCGTGCTGGATACCGTTTCCATGATGCACATCCCAGTCGAGAATCAGGACCTTGCGACAGGTCTCTGGGTAAGCTTTCTGGCATACGCGAGTGGCTATTGGAACATTGTTGAATATGCAAAAGCCCGATGGCGAGTCGGTCTCCGCATGATGCCCCGGGGGACGGATGATGGCAATTGCGTTCCGCACATGACCCTGTACTACCGCTTTGCAGGCTTCAATGGCGCCGCCAGCTGCAAGCTTTGCGCACTCAAACGTGGAGTGATTGAAGTAAATCGAGTCAAGCCCTTCTGCCTGCTCCTTTAACTGTTCGGTAGTCATATCTAGAAAAGTTATTAGCGGCTTTCAGGGCTAGCATCTGTGAACTTGCCTTGCAACGATTCCACAAAATCATAGTGCTCTTCGGTGTGTATGAGCAATATCTCGGGCTTTGTGGCATATCGTGTCGCAATCCTCCAGCAATGGTCTTGTTGATCTTCCTCAGAAGTGCTGGATGCGACAAGACCAGCTTCTTTGATTTCCTTGAAGATTGAGTGGATGCGCCTAGGATCCTCAGGATGGATGTCGTCGGGATTGATGTTCATGTCTGGGAGTTCTGCGTGAAACCGCATACGAGGGTCATACACCAGACCTGTCTTTGATGTCGCATACGCAAGCGCAGACGAGGTTGGCTTTGGAGGTATACGAACTTGCGGGCTCGTGCGTCGAACCGGTGTTGGCCGCGACATGCTCATCTTATCGGACCATGCACTGGGCGACTTGGTAGTTCGATGAGGTCCAGGACTACTTTTTTGGGCACTGGGTTGCAGTAAGGAAGGCGCCTTTGATGGGCTATGAAATGGCAGCTGCTCGTGTTTGGTAAACATTAGTCCTTTGCTATTGCCAAAAATATCCGATGGAACAACGGTATTCGGTGCGTGATCACCGTTGGGCTCTGTTGAGACGATGATTGAGTCATCTCCCATGGTGTAGTCTTCGTCTTCCATTACTGCACTTGAAATAAAACGGGCGTAGTACGCCTCGTTTTACAGTCGCGGGCCGGCAACTATGTATATGTATTAGCGATGGGGATTGTATCGAACGAAACAATCAGGTGCCTTGGTTAGGTATTGCATGATGACATGAAAAATCGCAATCCATAACCATGCCGCGGTCGCGCTTTCTCATATCCTGCCTCGTCGATACGCAGACAGTTCTAACAGGATGCAATGAGCGGTGGCAAAAGGTACCAATAATGTCAACGACCAGCAGTCTTTGTCGGTATAGAGATCGTGTTGAAACAAGGCGATCGTTCAGTATTCATAAGAATGGGAATACTGACCAAGGTTATTGCTACCGCATTGAGCTAGCTATGCCGACGACACAATGTATACTGAGAGATAACCAAGTCGCAGCACGACCACGTGTCGCAGCCCGGCGTAGGGTAAAGGTATTGAGAACCTTTGATCTACGTATCGGTTGGGACTTACTTGGCTATGTGGCGTTCTGTAGTACGGTAAGTAAAGTTCGTTTGGCCCTGCAGCGCGGTAATGGGTTTTGCTCGCAATGTGTCAAAGGCCGATCGCAACTCTAAGCTATGTATACGTACTTTCCGTTGTCGAGATAGGCAAAACCGAAGCTGCAGTGACTACAGGTCAGACACAAGCTAGTTGTCAGCTCCAGGAATCAAAACTAGGTGATGTTGGGCTTGAAAGTAGGGGATAAGTGGAGCGCTGCAATGCAGGTTCCATTCGCGGCCAAGGTCATCACATGACTAAGCAATGCCAAGATAATTAGCGGCATATATAATGTTACCGGAGTTTCGCTCGTCGCTAGTTCTGAAGGAAAGGTGTTTTCCTATTGATTTCACTCTACGATAGTATAGGGCTGGGCAGGTACATAGGACACGTCATTCGAAATCACAGTTCTGATCTAGGAGAGCGGACATCTCCGGATGTGTCTACAGATGTAGAGGGAAAGACCGCAACAACGCCATGATGCACATGATTCATAATTCCTTAAGGATCATGCGACTTGCATATGTATATTATATCTAAACTGAAATCAAACCTTATCGCGTCCTCGCAAAAAGACAACTTCTGCAGATTGGCGTCCTAAGAGTCAGATCTCAAGCGACTGGCACCTTAAAACTCCACACGAGTGACAAGGTTAAGGAACAAGAGTCCGTGGTATAGCCACGAAGTTCTGGAAACTACAGCAACGCCGATGATACCCATTTCTTGATAATCCAACCTAAATACCCGATCTACCCCGCGACTCTCATTGCTAACACACGGGGCGGGACTTCTTGATTGGAAGCTCCGGAACCTGACAACCGGAAACTAAACCCGGAAATGGAATCCGTGTACTTGTCGTTTGCATGGGAACCCAACATATCCGCGCGAACTCAGGGGCGAACTACCTCGGGAACTAACTCATAGATGAACGCTAGAAAACGCATCGACAGGGGCAGCTCCGCTACTATGCAGACCAAGGCGGGGAGCTTCAACGTCACATCATGTTTTCTCATGTGGTACTAGAGGCTGTGCTGATTATTATTTATTCATTCATGTTGTCTAGCATAACACTTTCATAGCTTCGTCCTATTTTTAACCCCGCGGTATCCGCGCCCAGCCAAAAACACCCGGTTTTGTGTTGATCCGTGATGAAATTGAAAGGTCAGAGTTTGGGCGTTGCATGGATCTGTCCTGACTCCTAAGCGTTGCCATCAACCTTGGCAATGTAGACCAAGAGGTCAAGGACACGGCGGGAGTAACCCCACTCGTTGTCGTACCATGAGACAAGCTTGACGAAGTTCTTGTTCAGGGAGATACCGGCCTTGGCATCGAAGATGGAAGAGCGGTTGTCGCCGTTGAGGTCGGTGGAAACAATGTCGTCTTCGGTGTAACCGAGGATACCTATATCTGTCAGAATGTGTATTCAAGTTATGGTTTAGTGCGGGAGCGTACCGTTCAGTTTGCCCTCGGAGGCCTCCTTGATGGCCGCCTTGATCTCATCGTATGAAGCAGCCTTCTCGATGCGGACAGTCAAGTCGACAACCGAGACGTTGGCAGTGGGGACACGCATGGCCATACCAGTGAGCTTGCCGTTGAGCTCAGGGATGACCTTGCCGACAGCCTTGGCGGCACCGGTGCTGCTGGGAATGATGTTCTGAGCAGCGGTACGGCCACCACGCCAGTCCTTGGCGGAGGGACCGTCGACAACCTTCTGGGTCGCTGTGTATGAGTGAATGGTGGTCATGAGACCCTCGATGATGGTGAACTTGTCGTGTACAACCTTGGCAAGAGGAGCCAGGCAGTTGGTTGTGCACGAGGCATTGGAGAGCACCTCAATGTCCGACTTGTAAGTCTCGTGGTTGACACCCATGACGAACATGGGGGCGTCGGCGGAGGGAGCAGAGATGACGACCTTCTTGGCTCCACCCTTCAAGTGAGCCTTGGCCTTCTCGGTGGTGGTGAAGACACCAGTGGACTCGACGACGTAGTAGGCACCAGTCTCGCTCCATGGGATGTTGGCGGGGTCCTTCTCCATGTGGAAGCGGATGGTCTTGCCGTTGACAGTCAGGTTGTTGCCGTCGACCTTGATCTCGCCCTTGAACTGGCCGTGTGTGCTGTCATACTTGAGCATGTATGCCTGCGTGTGTATTAGTCTGCTGTATCCTGCAGATCCATCGCGTCGTGATGCTTACAGCGTAGTGGGGCTCGATGAAGGGGTCGTTCACGGCGACGATGTCGACATCGTTGTGCTCGACGCTGCAGGCGGTTAGCTTGCATGTCATGTGCGAATTGCAGTAAGAGTGAGTTATTTGGGCCTCATGTAGGACTTCAGTCTACGATGACGGCTCATATGCAGAGATAAACGGTGCGTTTGGAGAGTACGTACGCGTTGCGGAAGACGATACGGCCAATGCGACCGAAGCCGTTGATACCAACCTTGACAACCATGTTGAGTTCGATGGGTAAGTTAGAATTGAGAAATGTATTGGAGACGAGGGGGGCGCTCACTGTTTATAAGCTTAGCTTTGGTGGTGTGAGACAGAGTTTGTTGGTGGGCACAGTGTTTTTGGGTCTGAGCAGGAGGTGGGGTGAGAGGGGCAAGCTAAATAGGTACAATAGAGACTCGGGGACGTCACAGATTTTAGCTTCTTTTCTGCTTGCGCCCGCCTGGACCCAATTACACACTTTGCGTGCTCCCACGCATCCGGCCGGCTGCTACTCGCCAGGTAAAGCGAAGCATCTGCAGGCTGATTGCAGACTGGGGCCCATACCGCTATCGTCTGAGGCCAGGCCGCGGATTGCACCGGCGTACGTGAAAGACAGACCGGACAGAGACGTACTCTACCAATACCCTGGCCTAGGCCTCGTCCGTGTATATGGGGACATATGCTCGACGAAACGCCAAGTGCGTTGGTGGTCTTGTCGGGCTCGCAGCCTCGCATATCGACTGCATCTTGTTACACTTGGCTACTGCTAATCAAACCGTGGACCATGGAGGCGAGGCGCGGCATGCCACGGACAACAGCCATCTATCGGAAGGTTTACGAAAGTCATGTACGTGTATGCTCTGTCAGCAGGATTGGCCAGAAACACGACCATTTGTGCGCGACGGATGTCCGTAGTCACTCCTCAGAGCTTATTCGGTCATTTGATGATATCAAACAAAGCCCGCACCGGAATCTAATCCATTCACCGGTTCATGGGGAGGCGAGCGTATTGTGTAACCACCGAGATTCCCCACCATGCAAAGTCGAGCTTGGTTGAGATGCGGCGTGGCGTATCCGCGGCCGGGACTGAGCTAGGCACGGTCTGAGGTTATAAAAGTCATCCTTCTGCCACATGATCACCAAGGACTAGTCGTGGTTCACAGGGACTTAAAGGTACCTTGCATGAACAATGGAGCTCGAGCTCGGAGCTGTCTGAACCATGATGGCATGGCGCCGGCCCGACAAGCTCGGTGGGCTCCGATCACGGGATGCGCAGAGAGAACTGTGAGCGCTTCTCCAAAATAAGGCTCAGACGGAGGCTATGGCTGCTGCACATCAATGCTAGTCATGGATAGTGCCTCGACAACATTTGGGCGATAGCAAGCTTCACTTTTGATGGCATCTGGACGCACGAGTTGCATGCATTCCAACGGCGGAGCCTCCGTCGAAAGGAATACGATATTTACAGATGAAAATGAGGCCTTTTAGTGCATCGGCACACCTCACTGTGACGCGGAGAAGCTCTGGCTAGCATTGTTATTCTGTGAATGCCATGCGTCTTGGGAAGCTCTGCTAGTTATAGATTGGCTAGCTTCCGCATCAGCTACCAAGTTTCGCTACCCCGCGCCTGAGTGAATTTGCGATGGTTTTCGAGTTACAGTTACATGCTGTAGGTACCCAGAGATGAGGGGGTAGTACAAGTAGCATACGAAGTACAGTATGGCCATGATGATTCTTTGCTTTGACAATATCAATTCATGTACATTGCTACATGTGCCACGTGAAGAATCTGTCTTGCCTCGCTCCCTCCAGCCACAGTCTCTACGAATTTCGACCTTGCTGCATTCAATCCAGTCTACGCAACCGCATCGTTGGTAATTCAAATAGCCATGTCTTAAACTTTGGCATGTTCGATTAGGTACCATGCTACAGAAGTCTCGGCGGTTATGTGTCTGGCTACGCCTTCCCAAAGCAACGGACCAGCCGTCAAATGCGGAAAGAGCGCTGCACAAGATTTTCAGGCGCAACCTCGCATCTGGATTTGCGACTGAGAGCATACAGACGTCTTCAATTCATCGCTCTTCAGTCCAGAGTGATAAGGCTTGAGGCTCTCTCGATGCCCTCAAGTCCGAGCCAATGAGGATTTCACCGTTGGCCTAACTAGGGCGCTTGGGCCACAAACTTGGTCGTTCCACCACCTTGGCGTTCCTCCCGCAACCACATTTTGCAAGGCAGCTCCCTAGCCCACCTTCGACTCCATCACCACCACGATCCATTGGCAGCTGTAGATCCCTCGACGGGAACCTCCTCCCTTTTCTTTCTATTTTCCGACACTCTCCACTCACCCACCGCCATGCTGCGTTCGTCCATTGCCCGCGCTTCGAGGAGCTCGGCTGCCGTCATCCCGTCGACCGCGACACGCACACTTCTCCCCAGAGCCGCCCCGGTCGCTTGCCAGGTCCAGCAGACTCGCCAGGCACATGCCATCTCCAACCCTACCCTCGCCAATATCGAGAAGCGATGGGAAGACATGCCCCCCCAGGAGCAGGCCGACTTATGGATGACGCTTAGGGACCGCATGAAGACCGACTGGAAGGAGTTGACTATTCAGGAAAAGAAGGCTGGTGCGTATAATCCCATTGCGCGCACTTCGGTGTTTGAGCGCTCATATGACGTATCTCGTGTTTTGACGAGATAGCCGAGCTGCCCGCGGCAAACGCGAGGTTATGGCGAAATGTCGGAAATCATCGATATGGTGCAATGAGCTGACATGATCCTCACAACATAGCATACTTCATTGCTTTTGGTCCCCACGGCCCACGCCGACCCCCGCCTCCGGATGAGGGCCGCAACGTCTTCCTCCTGTCTTCGGCTGTCATCGCCGGTGCTTTCGCCGTCTTCGCTTTCACGCGCATGTTCGCCAGCCCCATTCGACCTCGCACCATGACCAAGGAGTGGCAGGAGGCTTCCGAGGAATACTTGAAGGTGTGTAGCTTTTTCGCCGATTCCAGCATATATCCCCTCATGACACCACTAACACGTCACAGGCGCAAGGATCGGAGCCCATCACCGGTTACAAGGGAATGCTGGTCCAGAGCAAGTCCGAGAAGGAAGTGCCAACCAACCAGAAGATCAACGACGAGTAAAGAAGTCAATAGAAGAGTCACAGCAACCACTACACCAATACCGATACCACGTTTTCTTTGTGTGATTTTTTCGTTTGGTACTGTCTGTGTCACATACAAGAAGACCGAAA